GAGGCTTTACAGGATAAAGGGTTAAATTAACGAAATGTTTTACGTATTTTTGGCCCATCTTTTTGAACGTTCTTCATTTGAGTGAATTTTTCCGGTTAAATTATTTAATCAAAATTTAGAAAATTAATCGATCGATTTAAGTTTGAAAGACAATGGAAAATAATCAAGCAGCTACAGAGTAAGTTCATAAAACAGAGTAAGAGGCAACAAAAGCAACATCAGTCAGTTACAGTCGCAGAAGCATGTAAACTTTAAGTAAATGCTGCAATTTCTTTGCGAAATGAAGTCCTTTACGATTTCAATTGAAATTCGTTTTCCGAAAGTCTAAAAACACGAATGTCATTACGGTACGTTTATATTACCTCGATTGTCTCTCTTTTTGAGAAATAACAATTCATTTACTTCAATATTAACTTTCTCGGCGATAAGCATCGATATTTTATAGACTATTTGTTTAACAGAAAAAAAAGAAACAAAAACAGCAAAGTGTTGCTTTTATTTTTGAATACAAAAGCGTATGCCGAATGAAAAATGTGTTTGCACCGTTGAAGAAAATTACGTCAACCAATTTAATAGAAAGTGAATCTATTTTCTAAAGAGAATGCTTTAGCACTAACTGTATCATACTCTGCTTATGACACGCATTCGCAATCTAGATCAAAACACTTTGTGGGAATCTAAAGGAAGCTGTCGCATGCATATATATATTGAGCATAAACGAATGGGCGTGTAAGACCGTTGATGAATAGGAACCAAATTTCTATACAATAGGTGTTAAATGTCAAGACGTCGTAGGCGAATTACGTATTAGACGAAGACATATTTTTTTATCGAGAGCAAGGGGTAAGTTTTCCCGGAAATATTTCCCAATGCCAATAATTCTAAATTTCCGGTAGAGATGTGCCCAAGTAAGGTAGGGTGTCTTTGAGGTTAATTTCGCTCACCTATGTCGTTAAGTAATTGAAACGGTTACGGCAAAACGGCAACAATAGAAAGACATGTCACATGCATAATAAGAGGGTTAGTTGTTGGAGAAGCTAGGAAGCATAACCAACGACCAGAGATTATTAATATCTTGGTAGTTATTTTAGTGTTGTGACTAACAAGGAATTGGCGACTAAAGGCCTCAAGTGCCAACGGCCTGTAGAAGAGGGATGAGTGGCTGGTGAGTGATGGGTATTACCTTTGGGGTTAGAAAAAAGCCCCTAAAGACAGACCGACGGCACAGAATGTGGAAAGCAACGGGAAAGCACCAAATTAAATGCTAGGATTTCCCAAGCCTAAGCAGTTTTTGAAAATGTCTAATATGCGTGATCTTGTAAAATGCAAAATTGCAGGAGATTGCGCTTTAGAAGGGGGAGAATAGTTCCTTGGAAAGGGCAAGGATGTTAGGAATAAGTGAAATGAGGTGGACAGACAACGGTGGCTTCTAGAGGGGTGATTATTGAGTGGTTCACACGGGCTGCATTGAAGGGAGACTAGGTACAGGTGCTATATGAGTGGTGTTAAGTAATGATATGGGACAAAGGTTTACACGGATGAACTTGAAAACTAATATGATAAACAGCACAGAAAAAGTAATAGGTCGACAGAAAGCCCATACCATGTATAACTCTTGCCGAGAAAGATTGCCGGTCACAGCACACCTTGCGTCAATTTACAATTTATGTTATTTTTAAGATGCGAGCGACTTCCGGAATAGGATCGTGCCAATGTTGAGCGAAAAGACTTTTCGTTCAACATTGGCACGATCCTATCCCGGAAGTCGCTCACATCTTTAGAAAAACACAGATTGTAGACCGGGATCCGGTCTTCTGTGACCGGAAATCTTTCCTAGCGAGAGGTTTAGTTCGTCCCACCTTGACTTTACAGAACAGGGAACACATAACGCAATCCTTATGGGAGTTTTTAGTGCAGTGATGCCGAGTTTAGTTTGAATGCTAATTGTCATTATTTACAACGTGAAATGTCATTTTAATACATTTGCTCACTGATAATTAACAATTTACTTTAAATTCTGAGATGGGATGGATACAGGGTTGAAAAAGGAAAAGCGAGGTGAAAAGGCAAACCCGATCGAGATTCATCGCGGAATGGTTGCTATATATGATGACACTAGTTTCAGATAAACTACAGTCGATATGTGGTCGGCATGGTTCTGGGAAGGACGCGAGTTGTGTGAACGAGGAATGAGACGCAGACCATGACAATCCAATGTTCCCCTATATTTCGGATGAACGGTTTAGGAAGGCATAAGAGACATACAGACAGAGAAAAATGCATTTTTTTGGTTATAAATAGACTACAAAACTATATAAAAATAGCAGGTCCTGTGGGCCTGTACGACATCCTACATCAACGATTATTATCATTAGTTTGGCGAAATTTAGAATGACTAAATAATATAGAAAATTAAAAAAATTCTGCATGGGCCAGGAATCGAACCTGGGCCACCCATTTTCTACAAATCAACATTTGGCATCGTTGATGACCATAGGAGCATGTACTGTTAAAGTCAAGGTGAGACGGACTATAGGAGAAAGTGGATAACAGAGGAAATTACTGAGGAAAAAGCGAAGAAGAGACTATACAGAGGAAGGCAGAAAGAGGTACGCGCCATAAGGCTCAACAGAGGAGTAAGACAGACATAGACAAAGTATTTGGAAGACCGTTCATTTAAATGATGATGATGGGTCAATTTTGTATAAAGATAAGGGTATTGCAAAAAATGGAAGCATTATATAGACAATCTTTATGGAGGAAGAAGGCTTAGTGGAGAACAGCTGGAAAGGAACTGGAAAGTGGGCGCGGAGGAAATGGTCGATTGCATTTTTCGATTTCGATTTTCAATTAGATCAGGTTGTTAAACAATAAAAACGCTCCCGGTGCGACGTAGACGGATTGCCAGGGAAACCAATCAAAGTAGCATGACGAACTGTTTCATATGGTTTGTGAAGTATGTATAAAACTACAGATTTTAAATTTATATGTATGCAATGCAGTGCAGTGCATTTAAAATCCTCACAAACATGATAATAAAAGGAATAGAACGAAATATATAACTATTTTTTACTGGGGATCAGGAAGGACAGGAGTACAGGAGAAGTTCTTGGCTTTTACATTGATAAATGAAAAGAGATTACGAAAAGATCAGGATACCTTTATAGCCTTCACAGATCTTGAGAATCCATTTGACAAGGTGGATTTGCAACAATTATTCAAGATGTTGAAGGAAATTGGGAGGAGGTTACTAGCTGAGACAGAAGAAGAGATAGTAGAATTTGTCGAAGAAATGGGTAGATCCCTTAGAACGCACAACGTGAAGATCAATAAATCGAAAACAGGTGGTGAGTAGAAACGGTCAATGGCACCGTGGTCGCTGAGCGGAGATTGGCTAGGAAACGTGAACTCTTACGTAGTTCGGAAGTAAGATTACCTCGGATGGGAGATCAACAACAGAAATAATAAGCCGAATAAATCAAGCTAAAGCTGTCTTTAACAACAAGCGGAAACAGTTTACCTCCAACGATACTGACATGCACATTAAAATCAGTTATATGGAGCGTTTTATTGTGTCGAAGTGAGACTTGGACACCCGGGAAGATTGATAAAAAACGATAGAGGCGCTAGGCGGTACCTAAGAATGTTAAAGATTCCCTGGGTGGACAGAGTGAGAAATGAAGAGATGCTGATGAGGGTTGGAGAGTACAGACCTTGTCTATGGACTACTTTGAAAAAGAGAAGAGACACCTGGAATTAATCTAAAAAAGTTAAAATCTGGATAAAAACCTTTACCACGTACTTAAACTTTCAATGTATATACATTTCGACGTCTCAAATGGAAAACCAAATACAATTAAGACACAGATTTATGCTCTTAAAACCGGTCCCTAATTATACTGTTGGAGTAGAAATAAGTTCATTTCGACTGAAAGTGAAATTTTGTTTCTTATTTTTTGCATCGACGATGAGCATCAACATGTTGATGGTAATTCTTTCGTTTTCAGTGTTTGTTAGTTTTCACACATGGTTATGTGCTACAGAGTTCTTCTTTCAAGATATGCAAAAATTCCCAGACCGTTCCGTGTTTGCAATTCCAGTAATAAGTAAGTTAGCATTGGTTTCTAGTTTAGTTGGACGACACTGTATATGTTCATTTTGTAGAAACTTATTTATTAATTCACTTCACTCGCGCTACTTAACATCGTAGAGCTTTTCTAAAATTATGCAGTTAAGTTTAACAATAACTATTGGAGCACTACAAAATATTGGTTTCAAGAAATCAAGCAAATTTGGGAGAGCGAAATGTTGAGAATTGTGGGAAGCGTTTCCGAAATGTATAAGAAAATCTGGAAATATGTATGTAAGACATTTATACAATTGTTTAAAAAATTTTGAAAGACATTTTGAAAATATTTCGATAATTGTCGAAAATGTTTAATTCATGGATGCGTTGGAAAGTCAAATATTTTGGAAGCAGTTCCACAATGTATAAGACGAAATTTAGGAAATTTAGAAAGTTTTGAAATGTTACAAGTGCATAGAGAATTTTGAAAATATCCCCAAAACGTTAAAATGCGCTCTGCTATTTTTAAGTCTTCTCCAAAAAAATATTTGATGGTTTTCCAATTACCGTGTGTAAATCAAGTACCTAATAAATGGAATTGACTTATTTAGAGACACTGCTAATTGATAGTACGTTGGTGGTGGCCATAAGTATAGCGAACAGATCAGCATAAAGTACACGAGTAGGTATACTGTGGATTCAAATCAATTACTAACATAAATGACATAGTGCATATTTTGCTGCACACCGACACGAAACATTAAACCAAAAGATAAAAGGATATACTTACACTATGTGAGTAGATTATGTAGCAATAAAGAAATGTTATTTGCGTAATTAGTACACAACATTTATCTCGACTAATTACACGAATAAATTACCATAAAATGTAAATGAAATTTAAATAGATATTTTAAGTAATATAATTAATTACCTCCGCGATTTTCACTGTCCGCTGGTTTCACTTGGATGGGGCGGTTCATCTGAAACAATGTCTTGCGTTAAAATGGTAATAAGGAAAACATGTCTAAAATTCGTATAGGTTTTGACAGATCCAAAGAAGTTCATGTTGGGTTCGAATCAATACGAAACCTTTGTTCGGGATATAATGAAAAATTGTTAAAAGGGGATTCGATATACAGAAGTTAATGGTTAATGAACCCATCTGAGTTGTGCTTTTGTCAATAGTTAAATACAACACGCTATATAAATTCAATTTGGGGTAGACGCAAATAACGAATCAATTAAACATGTTTGTTAATTATTTACCTTACTTACCATTAGTAGTTCAGTCTGATGAATTTAGTGGTATCCTAATAATTAATTGTATACATATTACATTATTAAAATATACCATTAACATTTAATTTGAAAGTATTTACTAGAGCCAGTCAGTAACAAAAAGATTATACTTACACAGTGTGTCCCTATTATACTTACACAGTGTGTCCCTATTAAAATTTGCTTTTAAAAAAAGCACACATTAAATTCTAAAGCATATTTAGTTCTCTAACGGGCGGTTACAGGAAAGCGAATTATAATCAAAATCCTACATTATTTGCCAAATCTGAGTTTAAACAAGAATTTTGACATTTAATTGGCTGTCTACTGCAATATAAAGCCAATCAAATGTCTTAATACCGGATTAAACAATAATCCTGGATTATTTTTTTTGTGCAACTGGCCGTAAAAGACATACCTGGATTTTGATTTCCATTTGAATTCATATTGGTAGAACTGAATGAGGTAACCGTCAGTTACTTCTCTGTTATATTGTAGATTCGCGAATTAGTGTCATTTCAGTCATTGGCTATATAATTAGTATAACACAAAACTTAATAACTAACCTGCACATCCACCACCCTAATCAGTGTTTAATTGTTTTAAAGCAACCCCGCGTAATATAATAAGATGGCAGACTTTAAAGTGAGCTTAAATTGCCGCCACTTCGATAATCATTTGGCCAATTTAAGCACTTTGTTGTTAATTTTTCGGAAACTGGAGAGATGGAGGTGCATTTTAGTTGGAACGCGTGATATATGTTATTCTTCTACGTTACACAAATAACATGTAATTGTGTAAAAAGGTATAATATTTGCTTGTAGTATATGTAAATTTATAACTGATATTTTATCGAAATGGGTTACAAACAATACATACAATGTTGGAGGTTTATATTTAGAGACAAAGTAATTTAATTTATCCACGAAGCAGTTTTGAACAATATTAGTGAGGCATAATTATTATTGTATTGAGGAATTTCAAATATATGTGACATGCAGCAATATATGCGTTCAGTGATATCCGGATAATAGGCTCTCAAGCTGATATTATTCTGGTATGTGGTGTCAAAGTGGGGACAAGCTGTAACTATGGAGATGCCCGATAACAACATGTCTGTTGTAATGGACAGACAGATGCTGACTTTAATTTCCTGTCATCCAGAGTAAATTAGAAGTATGTAGGCGAGCGAGTGTTACAAGTTAGGCGCATAGTATTGAAATTATGGGAAAATTGCCAACAGGTAAGCTGGGATACCAGAAATGCACGTTTATCAAATATTTTAATCATAATATCAAACACTTTTTGAACTCCCGTTTAATTAAATGACACGATCCTAATTGTAAAGCAACACGCAACCTCGTCGTGACTTCACCTTATTGACTGCATTTCCACACTGTAGAATTCTGTTACCAAACTGACACCTTGTCTGATAGAGATCTGCTTTTTCACCAATAAATCAATAACTATAGTTCTATAACCATTACGAGTTTGTTATTTTATAGGTAATGGATGTGCAACATTTAACAGTAGATATAAAAAATAACGATCATCCTTTATTATTTTCCGGGCATCAGTTTTTAACGACGCCCTAAAAAACTATCGATGATGTTAATTATAATTTTCATTACAATGGAAATTTAGACGTAATTAAAATTAATTAAGTGCCACGGGAGAGGCAATAAACTGTAGCACCTTTAGTAAGGTAACATAAATCCAACTTCCATTAGGACTATATCTCATTTTATAACCTGACAAGTTCTGTTGCCTTTCGCCACAAAGGAATCAAATTTTCTTCTGACAAAAGAAATTTTTGTCACCGATTCATTTAGGTGGCTTTCTGAAACAGAGATTTCAGAGAAATTCAAGCTTTGAGGATAGCTCGTTAATGACAATTTTTTACTTGTTAGTTCAACGTGTAAAAAATTTCTCTGTCACAAGGCACATCATCATAAAGCTTCCACAGTTCATGTGCTTGTAATATCAAGTTAGTGTAAATTCTAATATTTCCTCGCTCACTTCAAAATTATACGCGTCCAACGATAAAACTCTTTAGATAAAAGGCGAGAAACAAGTACCCTGTACCTATACGTAACCAAGCATACAGCCAAACGTTGATATCTGAAAGATTAATTAGACGGTATGATTATAAACGTAATCTTTTTATATATTCACACCCTCACCAGGATAAACTGGTTTTTAATTGAGTTTAACGATAGAACGTTTAGTGTTTAATGCTACTTGGGATATAAAAGCATAAAAAAATAAAGTATTAAAATTAAATTATTAAAGGAAAAATTTAGTCATAGACTACAATATTAGAGTAACATTATTTCAGAAAATATATTATATGTAAATCTAATACGAATACTTTCTTTTAAATGAGTTCGTGCAGATAAAATATTTTTTTTAAATATTTTTTATTTTTATTTGGACTACATTGGATATAAATCACCACAGAAATATTCCAGAAATCTCGATAGGCAATGAGGCTCCATGAAAGGTTAGTCATTGGCGATAAAGAACGAAGGCAGATGTGACGTAATATTTCCGAGAAATATGACGTGTTTGTTCGAGAACATTCTAAAGCGTCCTTGAATTGTGTTTCGAGTTTAGTTCCATGCGCTTGTGTTACGTTAACAATTTTAAGTGATAAATAATTATTACTGTTATAAATTAATCCATTTTAAAACTGTTATAAATTAATTGTTAGTTAATCGTAAATAAATAAAACTGCGTAATTAAATTTACGTTACACTTATTTTGTTTGACTTCTTGTGATGGAGCCTGTCTTTGTAATTATTGACTGTTTTTACCACTTCTGTAGACACGCACACACACTAGAATCTGTTGATGGTAATCACGTTGCGCGCCTCTTGATACGAATGTAATTAACTTAACAATTAACAATAATTAATATGGAGTCCATTTGGATCTTATTAAACATACGTGTGGCAACGTGGCCCTCGAACTGTAACTGTTCCAGTTGCTTGGATGCAGAGTAAGTCGTGATGGGCGCTCGCGTTGGTCATTTATCATCGGTGATAATTTTATGCAGTTAAGTTAAAAAAACCATCTACAGGGTATGGTGCTTGATATAAAAGAATTGCTTTTATAGTTGTCCTACAAAGGAGTACAAAAAAAGAATTTTTTCGGTATTTCGGTGATATCTGTTATTTTTAAAAAATTATTTTTTTGTCACACAAGGGGACAATTATGCCCCCCTTTAACCTACACTGTATCTCTCACCGTTATGGTGATCCCAATGGTAAGCCACGACCACCCTGTACAGTAGGTGCTCAATTTTAAACTGCTGTGACCAAATTTATGTTTGGCTAAATTAACAGTACAACCTCGATTGCATAGATTCATAACGTAAGTATTTGCGTACTAATTTCTTCCTCAAGAAAAAAACTTCCTCTATTTGTCGCTTTCAGTTAGGTTTTCTAATTATGCTTCACTTCAGACTTTCACAATTGTTTACCAAAATTTCTTTGTTTTCATTTTGTGCTCCTTTAGGTATACCAACCTTTGTGTTTGAAGGGTTTGGCCTCTAGAAAGCTTCATTTTTAGGTTCAACGTTAAAAAAGCCTTGTCCATTGCGAAAATACTATATTGGTGAAAACATTTCAGTTAACATTGATTTCTGAATCCTCGAACCCCTTTAGGGTCGTCAGGGAAATAATAGGATTGGAATATGCATGGATTGGGCAGACAGGTTCAATGTCTGGTGGAATTTTCCGAATCTGAAAAATCCTCTTGTTCGCCAACAATAGGAACCTCATTAATTTAGGAAGAACTTAAGAGCAAAAAGGAATCACAGCGTCCAGGAAATGAACTCAAGCAATCCAAAACCAATCCAATCCAATCCAAAATATTAAAACAAAACCTGACAGACTTTGAGTACTTCAAAAAAACAGATGCTTTACAAAATGATAACAAAAATCGAAAGAATAAAACCACGAGAAATGATAAACTCTTATGTTTACTTTTGCATCTAAATTTTCATCAGGTTAGATATGCTTTCACGTCCAATAAAAAATTCGGAAGTTTCATTCGGACGGTCTCGCTGTACATGAATGTTTTTTAACAATGGTTTGTAGCCATATCGTTTAATTGCGATTTCAAGTTGGGGTGTCAGATGCTAACATTAAAATTAAGATTACCTAAACCGAGAGTCTATAATTTTTTTAACATTTCCAGAAGTGAGGAATTGACCACTTTGGAATGAGAACTGTATTTCTGATTCAAAATTCAGAAAATCGATTGGACACTTTTATATGATACACTGCTTGGAATTGCTACATTTATTAGCATGATAGATACAATTGCTTGCAGTTGTATGGAAGTCATTAGTGAATGAACTTAATTTACAAGAAACATACAATAAGCTTATTTAGCGGGGTATGTATGGAAATAATTGTCAATCGATCAAAACCATTCACTAAATACTCTGATACGAAAAGGTTCATCGACTTGGAAGAGCAACACCTTCTACAACTTGTAACAGTACCATATAAAAATTGTCTGAGTTATCTTAACTGAATTAATTTTCATGTGACAATTAGGACACGATAAAATGAATTATACTGCCTTTAAGATTTTATCATACTTAATTACGTTATCACTCAAAGCTCACGTAACGTTCGTTAATTGACACAAATGTTACCGTTTCACGAGTATCCTGTCAGATTTGAAAAACACCGAAGTATAGCACACAATCGTGCACCTAGATCGCGTTACAATTTGAGTGTTATACTTCTGAATTCACAATACAAATCCGCTGACTTCATTATAAAATAATTTTGTCTTGTGCAAATTAATCACCCAGCTAACGTGGATTCATTAATAACAAGTCATTGGAAATTTACTTACAACAATCGAAAAGTCGACTTGATTCGACCGGACGGAGTGGAGTACCTGCACCATATGGTCTCGAAAAAAGATCCTCTAAAAGTAATAATAGTTAAACAAGTGTCCGACTATCGAAGCCTATTACTAGAAACACTCGGCACTTGCGCTTACATCGTACGTATAAGAAAACCGTACACCGCTAGAGGTCGCACAAAGAGGGTAGTTTATCTGTATGTACCCCTCGAAACTTCGGAGTGATCTGCGGCGGCGAGTGGGACTGAGCGAGGTATCGACAGGACGCAACCAATCGCACGACGCCCTCGCACGCACTTCTTATGGCCATTAGGTTTCGTCATCGATCGGCCTGCCCTAGGATGTACACAGCTTAGATGAAGTGCTTCATATCTAAATGAAAAATGGGAATATTTTCGAAGTAGAACAAATAAACGTCATACTTTAGTTTTACAAGCCCAGACGGGGCAAATATTCGCCCGAAATTGATTTCAATCGGTGGTTTTTATATACACAAAATCTCCGAACTATACAAAGCTTTGGAATTGAAAATCAACGCGACTGGATCAGGTGTTAGATGCCGAATGACGTATAAAAAATATGTGCGTAAGCAGTTGTCAATAAGAAGAACCAACAACAAAGAATAATTTTACGCCCGAATTCTGCACCTGTGATTTTTCTTTACGTTTACAAACAAATAAATAGAAATTTATCGTCATATTTTGTTTCTTTGTGGCGCACGTTAAAAATATGTTATTAAACATCGCACGCCCGTAAGCATTTGTGACGTCAACGTACAACACATGCACTTCAATTTAATGAGTATGGCACCGCGTACAATAGTTTAATGATTTTAACATAAATATTAACGTAATTAAACAGTCGACGCAAATTTTATGCAAAGCTGCGCAAATTGCAAAATAGATGACTTTTTGCCTTTCAAACCAGCCAAATTTAAAATTCAGTTTACCTTTCAAGAGTTGTAAATATCAATAGATTATAACTTATCTGGCGGCTCCTCGGTTTTCACGGATCTGTAAATACGTATAAAAGGAATGGAATTGGGTTCACCTAAAATGTGTTTACTAGCTCAGAACTTTGCTCGTATATTCGTCATTGAGTGTCTAGTTAAACTTTTAGCACATTATACGATTTGCAGCTGTAAATTAAAATTTAATGCACATTTCACTTAATCGGTTAACTAAGTTAGAACGAGTGCACTCGTAAAACCTTCCAATACTCTATTAAAACTCTCGCATACTGTGTAGTTTTAAAGAAAATGTGCATCCACTTAAAAATGCATAATTCAAACAACCACTTCAACAATAAAGAGGTAATCGTGTACCTCGTTTATTTAAGAGATTTTAACGTCCAATTGGAGTACAAACCTGACGAATTTATTTACAAAAGAATCTAGCTGATAACTAGGATTAATAAGTTATGTATATATGTCTAGGTATTGAATAGTTGGCACTACACGGACACATGTTTGCTTATTATGGATCCTGTAATTACGAACACGGCCGATGTTAAATTTTTAAATAGGTTCAATCTACATCAATAGTTTTCCACTTGTTAGCGTGAAAACATCAACGTAATGAGTTTTAAAATAAATATCTGCTCGTGATCAATCTGTGACCTTTATGACCACAAAGAGCAGTTCCGTTTCTTGTTTAATCTGATTAGATTTAAAAACTTTTAATTAAGTTTAGGACTAAAAAAAAGTTCCATTAATATACTTCATAATTTAACTGTATATAGAACTTCAAACCGGGAAGTTAATTTTTTATATGTCAACGACAAGGTATTCGGATAGAAATAAACAAAAAATATTAGCCACCAGTTAAATTTTAACGCTTAGTTTTAACAAATAATGAAGGTTCATGCAGGAATACGATAGCACATTTTATTACAATTTAGATTCACTTACGTTACCACCATAAAAAAGTATAATCATATTTATCAAAAATTGTTCTGAGCCTTCGATGATGGTTTACAGGTCTCCATGATCGTTTTGTTCACCATTGTATGCACCGCCACACAGTACTATGTTTTTCCTCTTCCATTTTCATCACCCTAGCTAACTACCACTGCTACTGAAACAAGTCTCTGACACTTTAGCAGTGCATTTTTGATGTGGCAGACCAGAAACTTTCAGGATCTATGACGCAAGAATAACTCGATTGCACATATCTAATGCTGAAACGCTGAAGGATCTACGACATTCCGTTTCCATGATCTCGATCGATCTATAAAAGGCGACCGAATGAAGGAAATATCGACAGTTAGTGAAGCTACGAGTTTGGAACAACTTCTACAATGTCTCGTTGTCGAGATACAGGTCAATATGTAAAAGACGACCTTTGAATGAAATTCATAAATTATCAACTTCGGAAATGACACAGAGCGATACAGGACTAGATAGTACGAACCTAGTGCTGTAATCGCGAAGGCTATACGATGTTACGTTGGCGAGATCTGGATTTATTTATTTACAAAAGGAGAGATTTAAAGGAAATTTATAAATTATAAACTTCAGCAATGGCTTTCAACTTTCAGACTAAGCGATGCAGGAATGTACGAATATAATGCCGAAAGCCAGAACGTTCGACCACATTCCATTGTCGAGATCTCGATTGATTTATAAAAAAGCTTAAAAGCCGTCCGAACGAGCGACAGTTAGAGAAACTATAAGCTCCTTTGTGGGAATAAAAAATGCACTAAAAATAGTACTCAACGACATCCGTCTGGTTAATACTTATACAATTTTTCGATCTATTTATCAAATTTTATTGTAGAATTTTTAAAAGATAGCACAGCGTCTCGCATTGGTATGTTACAACACGCAAAGTTCAAGTACGGTATTTTTTAAATATTCTAAATTATAATCTTGGAAGTCATCAACATAGCGCTATTACTGTAAATTTGAATACGTTTACGATGATGTTATTTATTAGTTATTTTTTAATACGTTGTTCAGGTCTGGACCTTGAAACAAAAACCGCTAGCGCCGCCCTCTTGGATGGTTCAAAGAAAAGGTAAAGAAGATTAATATTTGAAGATGCTAATTATGGTAACGGGTCTTGCTGTTTTCTGGAGAAGCAAACAAAATTTTCCTTCGTCGAAGATCAACGATGATGTGTCAGAGGTACTAAACGCATGGAGAAACCAAATATTCTCGGTCACTTAATGTTTCAATCTATTGGCGGAATATAATCTGGGCAATTCTGCCTCTTAATGGTTTGCGAAGGTATATGTTACTTAGAGATGCTGCTAGTGATGACAACAAAACGAGCAGATCAACGCCTTCGCCAACTACGAAAACGCAATCAAATGTTGAGCACAAGTAAATCGCTGTCCTGATACATCAACATTTTCTCCCGCATGTTCAGCAGTGGGTCCGTGAAGTTAGCAGCACATTGAAGGCACAAATGTCGAGACTAGGTGGGTTGGTTAGTGCTTCGTTTGTGCCGGTTTGTGCCGTAAAAAGTTTGCCAGCAAAACATGCAGTAACAGCATCATGTTCGATTTTCTTTTTCAGTATCATTAGGCGGGCTTTATTGTGATTTGGAAAATTTGTTCTCACGAAGTTTACATAGAAAGTTGGGAATTTTACAAACATGTTCATATTTCCGCCACTGCAACTCGAAACATATTAGAAGTACAAAAAAAGTTTAGAAAACGTAAGGAACTTTAACTTTCATTTGAATCCTTTTTTCGTAAGATTCAACCGCTGTTATTTTGTTATTCCTGTATCTTTAATCCCAGATGGCGGCGCGAGCGGTCTCCCCTCAAGGTCGAAATCTTCTTTTTGATCTAGGCCCAGACCTTAAGAGCATATTACAAAATTACTACTAGGGGAGTCGATGGTGTCCGTCTGTCCGTCTGTCCATCAGTCCGTCTGTCCGTCCGTCCGTGAACAGGATAACACTGGCAAACGCTTGGACCGATTTGGTTCACACTTTGCACAGTTGACTTATATGCCACAAGTTATAAGCCTATTGAAAATGGGTCAAATTCAATGACCCCTTGGGGTCACGCCTCTCTGTCTCTGCCAAACGCTTGAACCTATTTAGTTCAAACTTTGCACATTTGACCTATATGTAATTAGCCTATTGAAAATGTGTCAAATCCAATGACCCCGTAGGGTCACACCGAGGTGCTCTGCCGCTTTTTTAGACGCTCTTTATGGGTTTATTTGACCCCCACTGACTGGACTTATTGGAATTGCATCAATTATTTTTCAGATTTAATTGTCAATCGATGAAAACGCCGTATTCAAAGCTACCGGAGAGAATAAATTCGAAAATTTGACGGATATACCCCTGCTGGTTGCTAGGCAGCGAAAACATTATTGGAACAAATAGCAACCCTTGTCCAAAAAGGCCTGTGTTTAACAACACTTATTATATGTATTAGGTATCGTAATTTGACTTTTGTAAGTTACAAAAGTGCGACCTTTTCTTCCAAAATGAGTAGTTTCGGTGCGTTAAAGATAGTTTGATTTTTTGTTCAAACCCTACTGGTTCAAACTTATTCAGTATTGCTTCAGATTTAAAAATAGGAGTAGTCAAGTGATTGATAAGATGTCAAAAAAACTGTCGTGAAATTTAAAAAAAAATAGTAAACAGCTCTCCTAGACTAAAAGAGTGTAAGTCTTGAAAATCACTGGTCACATCACACTAACAGGCTACCAGTGTAAGGAATCCAACTATGATACTTTTTATAATCATTTTAGGAAGAAATGATGAGAACTATTTTCGTGAAGTTCCATGAGATGCCGCCACCTACCTTTCCGATCATATCAAATACCACTTCCCGTTAGTCCCTTCCCGATTACCATTTCCAAATATTCCCCCAAACGTAACCAGCCGAATATAAAAGCGAGTGCCCCGTCTGTGAGAGGGACTGATTGAGATCACCTTCCTATAGCTCAAAACCTTTTACCAGAACCACCCTCCAGATCTCCTGCTCTTCCTGAAGCTTAGGCTGGTGCTTTGTACCATAGGTCTAAATTTCGCCAACCCTGTTATATCTTACCTGATCCAGAAGCTTAGGCCGGTGCTTTGCACCTACGGTCTGACTCCCGATAACTACTTCCAGAAGCCCACGGTTGGTACTGTGTACCTGTACCTGGTCAACTTTCACACCTGTTATTCTAAACCTCCCCAAACTCTTGGTATCTTAGGGCGGTACTTTGTACCTAAGTCCTGA